TCTGGGATAAGATCTAGGACAAATGGGATGTTGAGGTCATGATGTAGGGCTTTGTTGGTTACATAGAAAGGAGCATCGACTATTTTCGAAGGACTTTTGACTGGAAGGATTGGATGTGTTTGATGTTAGAAAATTTTTCTGTTTCCCACAGTTCTTGTCCGTAAGTCCACATAGGTTTCATTATTGTTTTATAGACCAGTAACTTGTTTTCAATAGAAAGTTTAGATTTTTTGTTTAGCAGTGTGTATAGTTGGCCTTATCGTCGGTTAAGTTCCTGTCTTTTAAGTTTAAGTAAAAGAGGGTTCCACGTTAGTCGTCTGTCTAAGAGAAAGCCAAGGTACCGGACTGTATCTGAGAAAGGAAGCTAGATGGTGTTAAAATAAACTGGTGGACAGGATTTACAACAAAAGGTGAAGGTTATATGTTTAGATTTGAATTCATTTATCTTAATCCGCCATTTCTTAAACCAGTGTTCAATCAGGGAGAGGTGCATTTGTAGGTTTAATGGCGCAGTTTTAGGATCTGAGTTGGTTGAAATGATATCGGTATGATCAGTGAATGTTACCAGGAGGGTATCAGGATGGACAGGAATATCTGCTGTGAAAATAATGTAAAGGATGGGACCCAAGACGCTGCTCTGCGCAACTCCCGCCTCAATTAAATGACAGTCGGAGAATTCAGTACCCTGGCTAACTTGAAAGGAGCGGTCAGAGAGGTAGGATCGGAGTATTAGATAGGACTGTGGTAGATGGAATTTAAGCTTGAAGAGCAGTCCAGCGTGCCACACTCGATCAAAAGCCAGTGCTATATCCAGAAATGCACCCGAACAATATTGTTTATTTTCTAGGGCTGAGGCTATATGGTCGACAATACGGAGTCCTTGTTTGACAGTGGAATGTTGGGAACGAAATCCAAATTAATGGGTTGTTAGATCTTTTGAGATATAATACATTTTGGCACACTTAAGGGCACTGAGTACTAAGGCTGTGTGAGGCACATTAATACTATATATACCATAAAATAAAAATAAAAATAAAGAAAAAAAATATATATCTATATAACTAAGACAAAAACTATAAAACCAAAGAAATGTAACTTGAAATCAAATTTAAAAAAAAAAACACAGAAATTCTCAGCAAATTAAATAAATTATAAGTAAAACAAATAAATAGATAAAAAAAGAAAAACATCCATACTTAATTACAATATTTACAATAAGCCAAGGGAGATCCGAGTCCAGCCCTTTTCTCCACGTGTGAGGGACAAAGCGAGACTCTAAGAGATCCCAGCGCTTCTCTCTCAGCCGCCTCACTGGCATTGGAGTCCAGTGGAGACTGAGAGAGGGTAAAGAAGCCACAGACGTTCATGACTTAAGTGGAGAGGCTGGCCATTGCCAGAACTCCAGTGACAGTCTTTACAAAAGGCCTCGAGGCCACTGCCATTTCAACCTTCGAGGATAATCGTAGGGATGACTGGAGCTGCATAAGGATTATACTAAGGGGTTAGGATAATGGATTAGGTTCAGGTGAAAATTTGAGAATCGGGATGGAATAACGTCAAGGACATAAGGGATGTGAAGGTCATGATGTAAGTTTTTATTCTTAACATAATAAGGGGCATTATACGGAGTACTTTAGACTGGAAGGATTAGATGCGTTTGATGTTTGAAACTTTAGTTGTCCCCCACAGATCAAGCTCGTAGGTCCCATTGGTTTTAGTTTGGATTGGTTTTAGTATAGTCTTTTATATTAATAGTTTGTTTTCAATTGAGAGATTGGATTTTCTAAGTAGTCTGTATAACTGGCTAAGTCGTCGGTTAAGTTCTTGTCTTTTAAGTCTGGTATGTGGGTTCCATGTTAGTCTTTTTTTCTAAAAGGAATCCAAGATACCGAACTGTGTCTGAGACGGGGAGAGCTACAGAGTTGAAAAGGATGGTTGGACAGAATCTGCGTCGGAGTGTAAAGGTGACATGCTTGCATTTGGATTCGTTGATTTTGATGGGCCAGTTGTTGCACATGCGGAGGAGGGAAGCTATGCCTACGGAATGGGCAACAGCCATTATCTGCCCAATACATAAGAAAGGAGATCAAACAGAATGCGCTAACTATCGAGGAATCTCACTCCTTTCGTGTGCTTATAAGCTGCTCTCTAACATTCTTTTTGAGAGGATCCTCCCGTATTCTGAAAAGGAACTGGGGAAATATCAGGCTGGATTTCGACGAGAACGCTCAACCACTGATCAACTGTTCTCTCTCAGGATGATCCTAGAAAAGACTATTGAACGTGAGGTAGTCACCCACCATTTATTCCTGGACTTTAAAGCAGCATACGACAGCGTTGATAGAACACAACTATACTGCACCTTGGAGGAACTAAACATCCCTCAGAAGCTCGTACGCCTAATCAAGATGACCGTAGACAGCTCAAGATGTAGAATACGCGTCGGTTCTGATGCCTCCGAAGAGTTTAAAGTGAGCAGTGGGGTTCGGCAAGGGGATGCCCTCGCCTATCTATTGTTCAACTTGGCAGAGGAGAAAGCTGTAAGAGACTCCGGTATTCAGACCAGCGATATAATCTTCAATCGCCTGACGCAACTTCTTGGTTTTGCTGATGATATTGACATAATAGGTAGGTCTGAACGGGCTCTCATAGAAGCGTTTATAGGCCTTGAAGTAGCTGCAAGACGACTTTTTCTAGAAGTCAACGAGAGGAAAACTAAGTATATGAGAGTTGGTGGTGAGGTGGATCTGAACTCTCCATTTGAGGTAGGTTCTTTTAAGTTTGAGAGTAATCTTGGGTCTGAAATTAATAGCAAAAATGACATGGCTCAAGGAATACAGAGAAGGATCACTCTCTCTCTCTCTCTCTCTCTCTCTCTCTCTCTCTCTCTCTCTCTCTCTCTCTCTCTCTCTCTCTCTCTCTCTCTCTCTCTCTCTCTCTCTCTCTCTCTCTCTCTCTCTCTCCTCTCTCTCTCTCTCTCTCTCTCTCTCTCTCTCTCTCTCTCTCTCTCCTCTCTCTCACCCTCTCCCTCACCCTCTCCCTCTCCCTCTCCCTCTCCCACTCCCTCTCCCTCTCCCTCTCCCTCTCCCTCTCCCTCTCCCTCTCCCTCTCCCTCTCCCTCTCCCTCTCCCTCTCCCGCTCCCTCTCCCTCTCCCTCTCCCTCCCCCTCCCTCTCCCTCTATTATACATGTATTAATAAACTTACTAGAGGCTAAGTAAACCTTCAAAGACACCTCTCCCTGATTGAGCACTGGTGTAATAAATGGCGTGTTAAAGTAAACGAATCCAAATCCCAACACATCACCTTCACGCTCCGACGCAGTTCCTGTCCACCAGTACATTTTAATTCCATTCAGCTTCCTTTCTCAGACACAGTCCGGTACCTTGGCTTTCTCATAGACAGACGACTAACGTGGAACCCTCATACTAGACTTAAAAGACAGGAACTAAACTGACGATACGGACAACTATACCGGCTACTAAACAGAAAATCTAAACTTTCCATTGAAAACAAGTTACTGATCTACAAGACAATACTGAAATCTATCTGGACTTACGGACTTGAACTGTGGGGAACAGCAAAATTTTCTAACATCAAACGCATCCAATCCAAAGTCCTTCGAACAATAGTCAATGCTCCTTTCTATGTAACCAACAAAACCCTACATCTTAACCTCAACATCCCATTAGTCCTAGATCTTATCCCAGAAAAATTCTCCAAATTCCACCAGAACCTTACCCATCATCCAAATCCCTTTGCAAAATCTCTATCTAGCACCACCCATCCATATAATCCTCCAAGGAGGTTAAAACGGCAGTGGCCCCGCGATCTTTTATAGCTTGTAAATATTGGGGTTCTGGCAATGGCCAGATTCTCCACTCACGACATGAGTGTATGTGGCTAAAGCACGCTTGCTCAATCTCCACTGGGTTTAGCCCTAGTGTCGCGGTTGAGAGAGGAGTGCAGGGAACTCCTGGAGTCACACTTTTCCCTCCACAGTTGGAGGAACAAGTCTGGTTTGGAGTTCTCTCACCAAATTGTAAATATTGTATATAGGTGTGTATGTTTTCTTTTTATTTATTTATTTTTAGGTTATTTTATTCTTATTTATGGTATATATATTATTTTTCTGTATAATTTATTTTATTTATTGTACATAGAGTATGAATGTGATCTGTGAACTCTATTATAAATGTCCTAGAGACAGATTGTAATATTTTTCAATAAATAAGTTTAAAAAAAAACTTAAAAAAACTAGAGGGTCAGAAAAAAAAAAGCCTAATATAAGACAATACAGATTGTCTACTGTTACTCCCACCGCTGAGAAAATAAAAAGGCCATTGGTCACCATACCCCCAGGCAATATAAGGAACTTGTAAAATTGTATATATATGCTTACTTTGTATATTATATATTGTATTATAATATTGTATAGATAATAAATTGGAGGGTGAGAAAAAAAAGGCATGACAGTAGATAGAGAGATCTTTCTCTCCACTATCAGGGTGCCGAGAAACCTTTCTCCTCCTAATCAGAGTTGATATAATTTTTATTGATTTTATATTCTCATTTTTATGGTACTTTATCAATCTGAATTTCATATCTTATATATAATTAACCCTTTCTTTTCATACACGGTCTCGATGCTCATCCGTCCGCTTGTAGTCTTACATACCAAGTCTGGAGATTCATCCCTTTCGTTGGTATTTCTTATGGAGGCTGTCTCTTTCCTTCTATGTTTGCTATATAGAAATATGTAAAATATGCAATTGTTTTGTTCAGATATTTTCAAATATATACATACGCATAAAAAAACTTACAACTGCATACTATATCTATATGTAAACGAAATTTACCGGTGAATAGATCGTTAATAAAAAATAAAAAAATAATATGATATCAACAAGATAAAATAGATGACCTGCTGACACTGATTGTTAACACATACTGAAATGGCTGATAGATTCTATCTGATATCGCGTGTTACCCTCATTGTGTTATAACATTAAACAGTTATCTAAATAAGTAGGCCGCGCTCAGTTATATAGTTGATTTGAGTAACGAAATGTTTATTGTTTTAATATTATCCAGTCTAGTGGTTGGTATATTCAATGTGATTCAATTATACATTTGAATGCCCCATTTTATTTTAGAATAAAAAAATATTACTTTTAAGGTGTTTTCATCTAGTCAGATGTTATCATTAAATGAAGCTGTTTTAAATGGAAAATCAAATGAAGTTAAAAAACTTTTAGAAGCAGGAGCATTTTTGGAAAGTAAAGATGATAAAGGCAGAACGCCACTTCACATTGCTGCTGAGTGGGGTCATGATGAGATTGTTGACGTTCTTCTCAAATTCGGTGTTCGATTGTCTGCAAGAGATGACTATGGAAGTTCTCCTTTGCATTTAGCAGTAATAAATAAACATATAAAGGCTGTTAAGAGGCTGGTTCTTTGTGGTGCCAATGTGAATGCTGTCGATGCTGCCGGACGTAATGGCCTTCATTTAGCTTCAATAAATGGTCATGTGAAAGCTATCGAAATACTTATTAATCATGGTGAGATAAATTGTTAACTCAAGAGAAATACTTAATAATTTTTAATTGTATTTAACATATACTGTGCGAAATAACTTAGAAAAAAATTATTAGTTTTAGTTTAATGACTGTAGGATAATGAGCCATTTTTAGGCCTATTAGAAAGATGAATACCAAGTTGTATCAAAATGGGTCAAATTCTCTACAGTACATAATATGTTTATTAGTACATGAATAATGTAGGGAACAGCGTGCTGATTTGGCGCAATGGAATCTTTTGTAGCAAATTTATAAGTTTCTTCTTATGTCAAATGTATATAAGATATGTTAATATCTTTTTATGGGTTATCCTCTCACAAAGGGACAATTCTGAATCAGAGTTTTCAAAAATGTAAATGTATTTCAATCAAGCTGAAATGCATTGGAGATTCTTTCTTAAACAATTTAATTAGAATCCAATACCAATGAAAACAACCACTATTTTATTTACAAATAAAAAAATAAATGAAGTTACTAAAATAAAGAAAGTAGCTGGACAGTATCATGACTACTGTTTCATTAACAGTAATCGTATTATTTATCTATCTTCACATTAAGCCCCTGTATTGTATTTATTTAGATGGTTATTTAGTGAATTTTGCAAAAGAAAAAAACAGGCTAGCTTAACGTTTAATAGACATTAATGAGCTAAAATTCATAAATACTTGAGTTTATCGTTGTTAATGTCCTTTAATTCAGTATTTTGATACTAATCTATAGATAGATTTGATAAACAATTGATGATTGGTGTGTTATAATTTTGTAGATCTGCTGCCCACGGCCAAGGTGCCAATACCGTCCTCCATTCTATATGTCTCAATATTCTATATCCAATATTGTTTCTGGATTTTATTTGTTTACAGCTCTGTCTTATCTTTTAGCAAGACAAGATTCAACAGCAATAGTGGTAAATTGAAAGGTGTTGTGCAACAATTGCCAATTTTCTCTACGTTGCTATCATCGTCTTCATACTTATCTCTGTCTTTCTTCTAGTGCTCATTTTCTCCTTCCTCGGACTCCTAAGTTAAATTGGACCGACTCCATTTGTTGGGGCCGGGGGTATTTCAAAATTAAAACACAAACCCTTCCCCGGTGAGGTTCCTTAAAGGTGAGAAAATTCGAAAAAAATTAAATTTTGGGAAAGAAGGAAAAATAAAAAGAGTAAAAATGAGACCTGTAAAACATTAGAGAAAAAAACAAATGCATGCAAAAGAAAATAATATAAAATAAAAATATTCAATAAATGAAAAATGGAAAATGAAAAATCCCCTTCTAAATGCTTACAAATTTATTAAAAATATATGTAAAATTCAAAACAAACAAATGAGAAGAAAGAAAATTATTCAATTTCACTGAAATAAAAGAAAACATAAAACATAATGTTCAGTTAAAATAAAACAATTAAACATTATGAAAAAGTATATAGTAAAATCCACTTCGGAAAACTATAAATAAACCAAGAGAGAAAAATGTCTGTGGTAACGGTGAGAGAAGTGAACGAAAATATCCCAAATGGAGGCTATATTTCCAAAGAGGTTAGTTACCTGAAGTTCAGCTGTCAAAGCAGTCGATGGTGGGGGGATCGATATGCATATCGATCCTGATCGATGACTCGCGATGAAACAGCTGGGATCTTTAAATGGCGCAGGTGAGGTGAAGTGAGTCTGGAATGGTGGGGGTAGTCGTCCACTACTATCTCGACAAAGGCTACTTCCAGACTGGCTTCGGCCGTATTTTGATGTCTTAATCCCTAAGACAGGGTATTACTGCCGGGCTGTTGTGTATATAGAACGCGATAATACATGGCAAAATAAACCCAAATATATCAACACTATAAACTTATATACATTTTAGGAACAGTATTCCTCTGTTTTTACTGACAAAAAAAATCTTTTATTATTCACACTTAAAAGGGATGAGTGGTGGGGAAAAAATAACAAAAGCAGCGTTAATATACCGCCCACCAAAATTTCAAGAAATTTTAGAGATCTCATTTTGGAGGTAGAGGAGATAGGAGAGAAAGGAACAAGAGGTGCTGCGAACAGAAAGTGTTGCAGGGTTAACTCAGTAATCCGCAGGATCGGAGTATCGGATATAGAGGTGAGGTGGAGAGAACATCTTCCAAACGAGACACTTCTGTCGCTAACTGATCGCAAGTAACGGACTATCGTCTAAAACGCAGGTGAGGTGAGGCATACGAGAAGAGTGCAACAACTATGGAACGGCGTGAGGGAAGATAAAGTGAGAGCGGTCAACAAACGGATTTACCATACGAGGGTTTACCGGTAAAATTACAGGAGCATATGGAAAACCTGCCGCCCACCCTGACAAAACCAACGGGAACGCAGCACGAACTAAACGGCAGAAACGATTTTATATCATATAGCGATATATGACCAGTGAGGGGTCGACCATTTAAAATATCGTTGCGTAACGTGCCGCCCACTTTGACCAAACCGAGTTAACCGACAAGCGCATTAAACGATTTTAATGACTTTTGGTCATAATGAGAATTATGAACGGTGAGAGGATGACCATCAAACGAACCGTTTCCCGAAGCGGATATGTCGAACGTAACCCGATGCATTTTGGACTAACTGTCCCTCGAAATATCACGGTGCTGTGTGAAGCGTCTTTAGGGTGGAGAGGCAGTTTTCACGTAACTCTCAGGATGAATAAGCTCAGCTGCTGCACTATGGAGATCGGTGGTGGTACGACGTGTGTTTAGCGAGTTTTGATCGATGGGCGATGTAACATTTTTACACGAGCTGGAGTGAGAGGGTGATACTGAAGAACGGGCAGCGGAAGATGATGAAATCGTGTTGTTACGAGGTGTAAACACACTTTTGGAAGTTACACCTGAGCCAGGTGGTGCAGTTTTCGAATTACAGTAATCCGTATGCCGAGAGTCTCGTGCGAAAAAATGTAGGAGGGAATGATGCTTTTTACCACAGAGGCGGCAAGATACGCGAGAGGTACACTTGTTCACGAAATGTCCGGAAGCTAGGCAATTACAGCATCGTTTGAGAGCTTTAGTACGATCGTGACGTTGTTGCGGGGTGAGGCTCTTGAAATGAGAGCAATCGTACACTCGGTGAGGTGCTTCGCAAATTGGGCATTTCGTCGAGCTCTTCAACGAACCGGTGGCCATCGCAACCTGTCTCGATGGTTTCCCACATTCGGATTCGGGGTGCACTGTTTCGGAATACGTGTTGGAGAGAAGGGCCTCCGATTGCAATTTTACGGCGTGACTCTGAATGAAGTCCGCGAATTGATCCCAAGACGGAAGTTCATTTTTAGACTGGAAATCGCTCTCAAAGCCTTCCCTGGTTTTGGCATCTAACCGGCTAAGTGCCAGAGTACTTAACACGAAACCAGGAAGGTCGCTTATCCCTAACTTGAGGAGTGCCGACGCGCTCCCCACAACAACCGAAGAGAAATTCTCCAAATTAGCAAGGTTACCCCCCTAAGCGGTTCGAAATTTAAAATCTTCGTAAGGTAGAACGTAGCTTGTACTATCTTACTATTGTACCTCTTGTAGAGCGCGTCCCATGCTTGGATATACCCTGAAGGAGATATAGAAATCGAGGAAGTAACCTGCAACGCCGTACCCTTCAACGCAGTTTTTAATAATCAAATTTTTGGATGTTATCCAAATCGTCCCTCTCATGTACTAAAGATTTGAATGTCTAAAGATTTAAAATCTTGCCAACTCGCGATATCTCCGGAAAACGATGGAATACTAATCTCTGGCAATTGTGGATGCGAAAAAACATTTCTGATGACCTTACTCGTAGCGGAATTGTCAACGTATGATTTACACGCGTCACTATTAATTTTATTTTTAAGAGCCAATGCCTCGTAGTAAGAGTCGCTTACCTCTTCTTTTAATGTTTTATATTCGTCCCTCGAAACGTTCAATCTCCTCGCGAGAGAATTAAATTCCTTAAAAATAGACTCGAAACGCTCATATGTGGCATCGATACGGGAAATTCTAGGCAAAAATAATGATTTACGCGAAGGATCGGTGGGTAGACTCAGCCCTAGTGCGGTGGTCATCCTAATATCACTGGCCAAGTCGTCTAATTGATCTTCAAGATCGGCCAACTTCGCTTCCTGTTCCTCGATTGTGATTTTTGGAGCCATAGTGAAGACAAAATAACGAATAACAAACCACAAAATCGAATATTACACAAAAATAATATTAACGAGAGAGAAAAAAAAATTAAACGTAAACGGAGCGATTTAAAGAGGTATAACGAGCAATAAAAAAAATACCACCAAAACAAATTAAAGAGTGAGAAAAAAGTTAATTAAACGTGAACGGAGAGATTAGAGAAATAACGAAAAATGAGAGACAATAAAAATACAGTTTCACAAAACGAAAAATAATCTTACTCGAAAACAAAAATTTTGAGGAATAAAAAATCGGAGGACCAAAAATAAAGTGCTGATGTATGGGGCCGGGCGTATTTCAAAACTAAAACACAAACCCTTCCCCGGTGAGGTTCCTCATAGGTGAGAAAATTCGAGAAAAATTAAATTTTGGGAAAGAAGGAAAAAATAAAATGAGTAAAAATGAGACCTGTAAAACATTGGGGAAAAAAACAAATGCATGCAAAAGAAAATAATATAAAATAAAAATATTCAATAAGTCAAAAATGGAAAATGAAAAATCCGCTTCTAAATGCTTACAAATTTATTGAGATAAAAAATATATGTAAAATTCAAAACAAACAAATGAGAAGAAAGAAAATTATTCAATTTCACTGAAATAAAAGAAAACATAAAACATAATGTACAGTTAAAATAAAACAATTAAACATCATGAAAAAGTATATAATAAAATACACTTCGGAAAACTATAAATAAACCAAGAGAGACAAATGTCTGTGGTAACGGTGAGAGAAGTGAACGAAAATATCCCAAATTGGATTTTTTCAGAATCGATATGCAAATCGATCCCCCATCGATGACTCGCG